AGGAAAAGGAAAGGAGTACTAGAAGAAACCATTTAATACCCATCAGGGTGACAAAGACAATGTTCAAGAATGTGTGGATTAATGGGTATGCCCATTCCCAGCTGATGGGAATACAGATTGATACACAGGTGTATATCAATGAAAGTACTGCAACAAGTTCTTGGAAAACTGGAATTAATGGGGCTAGGGGGTATGGCCTCGTAGGTTAAACCTCTGCCTACAGCGCCAGCACCTCCTATGAGCGCTGGTTCATGTCCCAGCTGCTCTTCCCATCCAGCTCCATGCTAACGGCCTGGAAAAGCAGTGGAAGATGGCTCAAGTGCTTGGGCCCCTGCACCCACATGGGAGACCCAGAAGAAGCTCCTGGTTTGGATCAGGCCAGCTCCGACCGTTGTAGCCATCTGGGGAGTGAACCAGCGAATCGAAGGCCTTCCTCTCTGCGTCTCCCTCTGTCTGTAACTCTGCCTCTGAAATAAGATCTTTTTGAAAAGTGAATTAAAGTTTCTTTTGGTTCAAAAACAATTTGAAATCCACACTTTTTTTTTTTTTTTTTTTGCCACTACACGCAATTCCCATGAACTTTTTGAACATCCCCTTCCCATCCAGAGGCATAGCCCAACAATATCATACTGCACAGTGGAACAGATAAGCTACTGTTCACATAATTAACAAGCTATCAACCTCTGCCTAGCTATAAGAAAACAATTAAGGCTAGAAGAATATAGCACCATCCCTTTTACACATAGTTGAAGAACTAAGAACCATCAGCACCACGCTGATCCGATGGCAGGAGCCAGGTACTTATCCTGGTCTCCCATGGGGTGCAGGGCCCAAGCACTTGGGCCATCCTCCACTGCACTCCCGGGCCTCAGCAGAGAGCTGGCCATTTAATACACTAAGAACCAATCCATTTTATATTTAGCAATACATTCAAAGACACAAACACCATAAAGCAAAACTTGGGAATGTTTTCCACCAGAAGTCAGCAAGGGGTTACACCATGAAAGAAAGGGCAAGATGGAACCCAAGAAGCAAAAGGAAGCTTTCTCTAGGCCACGAGCGTTTTATAAATTAACAGGGTGTGTGAGTGCACATTCCCAACCAAGCACAAGCGTCTACTCTCTATGAGGCATGTTTCACAAGACCCGAGCCTCCACTCAGAAATACCAGAGGTACTGGAAACGACTGAAGACACAAGGCTTAAAATGTGTTTCCATCTGCACTATGTCCTGAACACATTAGACAAATTCGCTATTTAAAAGAACCCCTATAATTATTTTTGTAAGGATGCAAAGCCTTTTTAAGGAGAATCATCACCCCCTAATTTACCTGTTTGGTAGAGACAATGTTAGTGTACAGGCTGCCAACGCAATACTTAACAGCTTCTCAAAAATACAAGGTCCAATTTTCATAAATTATTGCCTGCTACAATTCTCTCTTGAGGAAAACCACACAGACTTCCCATACATACCAATGCAATTAAAATCAAGTGTGGTACTAAAATATGGAGCTACACGAGGATAGCAAACATTATTTCGTCTATTATACGCTCAATTGAATACACAGGGGGTGAGAGGGGAAAGAGCTATTAGGTAAAAGATACAACCCTCAAAGGTTACAATTTATTGCATCTTATTAGGCAATAAAGTTTTTTTTTTTTTTTGGTTACTTATTAGAGAAATAGAAAGAGACAGTTCCATCCTCTGGGTCACTCCCCAAATACCAGTGATGGCTACATCAAAGCCGGGAGCTGGCAACACAATCCAGGTCTCCCACATGGGCGTCAGGAACCTAATCAGAACCTAATTACTGAAGCTGTCACTACTGCTTCTTGTGGTCTGCATTAGCAGGAAGCAGGAGCCAGACACCTTAACCACTAGGCCAGCTTCCTAACCCAAAAACTTAAGTTTAAAACTTAAAAATAGGGGCCTATCACTGTATTTCTTTGTGTGTGTGTGTGTGTGTGTGTGTGTGTGTGTTTCTTTTTATTTTTTGACGGGCAGAGTGGACAGTGAGAGAGAGAGAGAGAGAGAGAGAGAAAGGTCTTCCTTTTCTGTTGGTTCACCCTCCAATGGCCGCCGCGGCCGGCACACTGCGCTGATCTGAAGGCAGGAGCCAGGTGCTTCTCCTGGTCTCCCATGGGGTGCAGGGCCCAAGCACTTGGGCCATCCTCCACTGTACTCCCAGGCCACAGCAGAGAGCTGGATTGGAAGAGGGGCAACCGGGAATCCGGCGCCCCAACTGGGACTAGAACCCGGTGTGCCAGCGCCGCCAAGGCGGAGGATTAGCCTAGTGAGCCGAGGCGCCAGCAATCACTGTATTTCTAAAGCTGTACCTATGAAATTTATTTTTATTAAATAAAAACTTTATTAAAAATTAAAAATAAAAATAGGGGCCAGCGCTGTGACTAAGCTAAACCTCCGCCTGCAGTGCCAGCATCCCACATGACTGCTGGTTCACATCCCAGCTATTCCACTTCAGACCCAGCTCTCTGCTAATTTGCCTGAGAAAGCAGCAGAAGATAGCCCAAGTCCTTGGGCCCCTGCACCCACGTGGGAGACCCAGAAGCAGCTCCTTGTTTGCAGCTTTGGATCAGCTCAGCTCTGGCCATTTGGGGAGTAACCATAAGATAGAAGACCTTCCTCTCAGTCTCTCCCTCTGTAACTGTATCTCTCAAATAAATAAAAATCTTAAAATACACTTTTAAAAATTATTAAAAAATTTTTTTTAAGATTTGAGGGGCCAGCACTGTTGTGTAGCAAGTGAGGCCGCCGCCTTCAGTGCCGGCATCCCATATGGGCACCAGTTTGAGTCCTGGCTGCTCCACTTCCAATCCAGCTCTCTGTGTGGCCTGGGAAAGCAGTGAAGACGGCCCAAGTCCTTGGGACCCTGCACCCGCGTGGGAGACCCGGAAGAAGCTCCTGGCTTCGGATTGGTACAGCTCCTGCTACAGAAACCTGGGGTGGGAAAACTCCCTCCATTCAAACAGGCACCAGAGATGTGGAGGATCCAGCAGTTTGTTCCGCCAGGGGGCTCAGCTGGAATCATTTCCTGAGGACTGAGTAACAATCCCAAGTTTCTTACAATATTCACAGGTTGATCAGCACCACACCTTAGCTGTTACAGCACTGGTGGGTTTAAATTGCAGCCTACGTGACTTGGGACCACACTTCCAATTGTCTGTGGGTCTGGTATGTTTGTAAAAGAGCTACCAGGGGCAGATTTATTAGGCGAAATTAATGACTGGAGTTCACAGAAGCAGAATTTAGGACTTCGTCCCTCCCTAGGGAAGATAACAGTGGGCAGCTGCTTCACTAGTTAACTGCGAGCAGCCACTTGTGTTGGGAGGTTTGTGTTGGGAGGAGGGGTCGCCTTTTCTTTGTCTCTGGTTGCTAACTTAATTCCTCTACACTCTGGCTGTTGCAGCCATCTGGGGAGTGAATCAGCGGATGGGAGACCTCTCTCTCTCTGCCTCTCCTTCTCCGTATACCTCTGACTTTCAGATAAATCAATCTTTAAAAAAATTTATTTGAAAGGCAGAGGTACACAGAAGGAAGGAGAGACAGAGAGCTTCCATCTGCTGGTTCACTCTACAAATGGCCTCAATGGCCAGGGCTGGGCCAGGCTGAGCCAGGAATCCCAAACTCCACCTGGGTCTCCCCTGTGGGTGACAGCAGCTCACATACGTGGGCCATCTTCTGACCCAGGTGTATTAGCAGGGAACCAGATGGAAAGTCCAGCAGCTAGGACTCAACCTGGTGCTCACACAGGATGCACCATTGCAGGCATCAGCTTAACCCACAGCAACTCGACACCAGCCCCTCCAAACTGAAAAGCTTTAAGCATTTTCTTTAATACTGTTAAAGGGATCCACGGAAGACTCCCTTCTCCCGTGAGCACCCATATTCTGTTCTCTTCGCATCTATGCATTTGACACACCCCAACCTGTATTTTTATCTTATCACCCTCGAGCAGTGAGACCAACTCAAGAACAGGAATCCCACATCTGCATCTGGGGGCCGAAGTGTGCCTGTCTGAAGGCCTTGAACAATGAACCCAAACTTGTCTTTTGACTGTGGGTGAAGATGACTTAATTCTCATATTATTGATCAAATACAACTCACTGGCTTCCTCATATCCTATAATGACAACTGAGTAAGTATTCAAACCCACAGGCTAGGAAACGCTTCAATTTCCCTCCTGGGTCTCCAGGGGCAAACCTTGGAGAGCATTTCTACCTGGAAACATTACCAGGTCATGACAGAATGCAAGAAGAAGTGCACTCAAAAGGAAGATGTTTATCCTGATCTACTTTTTTCATTCCTTAAGGAATGTTTTTAGCCTATGGCTTTGCCTTGGGTGAAACAATGTCAAATGATTTAAAGCAAACAGAAAACGCCAAGCTTTCAGGTTGGTTGCTATGTCTTTTACCTAGAGACACACAGGAGCTGCAAACCTACCAGGCGGCTGCTGGGCCAGCTGGCTGCTCTTCACTGGTTACCAACAGCACACGAAACAATGTGAATAAATCGAGAAACCACATCACATAACAAATCCTACTTAATATTAAAATCAGTGGGAGCTACTGGAAGCTTCTCTGTGTCTGAACCTGAAGAAGGCAACCTGACAAGATAATTGAGGGTTGTCTGAGGCTCGCAGAGAATTCTCTGCATCAACCTTGCTTCCTCAACTGGTGTCCTGATAGCTTCCAAGAGGGGCACAGGAGTGTCATCAACAACATGTCATTAAAAGCTGGTTACACTGTTTACGCTTGCCATTGGCATTGAAAGTAGATTTTTGAACAAGTGAATGAGGAAGCTGGTTCATTTTTGCACTTGCTGCAGTACAGGTCACTTGCTCGTGGTGGGTTGTCGGGATTATTTAAATTCAGGAGCAAGCTGGGTTGACAAGCCCCTGCACTGCTGCAGGCTACCATCCTCACACAGTGCCTGGAGGGTTATTACAATTGCAGGCGGCTATAGACAACAAAGGAGTCTTACCCCTTCCCGAAGGCACCTCATTAGCACTGTGTATGCAGCCACGGGAACGGCCCAGCATTCTCTGGGGTTCTTTTTTTTTTCATCCTGAAATGAAGTGGAAGGAGAGACAGTGAAGCGAACAGCACAAAAGATATTAACCCATTCAAGAAAAAGAAAGCAAGCACAGTTCCAAATCTAGGTTCTTCATAGTCTATGGATATTTATGACCAGATCAAGGGTCTCTGATGCACTGCCCATGCAAGTTATTTCTTCCATTTCACGCTGTGTCACCTGTGATGTTGATAAACCTCCCTCCTCAGAAGTCAGATATACAAAGAATTAAGAACAGTATGATCTGACTCAGAGTAGCACTATCTTACTGATAATGGTAGATATAATATAGATATCCCCAGATCAAAGCATTCCATTATCCAGAACGATATGTAAGCACAGAACACACAACTCAGTAGTATTCTCAGAATCATTCCACAAAACACAAGTAAAACAAAGTCTGTCATGTCGTGGGACAATGTGCTCAATAGGAATCAAGCCACCGTGGTTAGGAAGTACACTGATTAGAGTGACAGTAGCCATGATTCTGGACAGAGAATTAACCAAATTCATGTAGATAACTGAAGAAAACTCCTGCAACCTATCAAAGTCACCAAAAAAGTGAGGCACCACAAAGAAGGGTGGAAAAAACTCCATCTTTTTAATGATGTATGTTTGTTTGTTTATTTTATTTGAGAGAGGAAGACACAGAAAAAGGGAGAGAGAGATCCATCTTTCCACCACTGGCTCACTCCCCAAACAGCCTCAATAGTCCAGGTCAGACTGAAGCCAGGAGCTCCATCCAGATCTCCCACATGGGTGGCAGGGGCCCAAGTACTTGGACCATCCTCTGCTGCCATCCTAGGTGCATTAGCAGGGAGCTGGATTAGAAGTGAAACCAGCACTCTGATACAGGAACACCAGCATTGCACACGGTGGCTTAAACCACTGCACCATTCCACCAGCCCCAAAATAAATCTTTCTGGACAGAAGATATTAGATTCTATTCACCTAAAATTTATCTTCTAAGACTACGCAAATGATAAAATTGCTCTCTTATCAAGCCAAAAGTTTCTTATACCCTTGAAATTATGACCCATTAAAAATGTACTCTTATTAAATCACACAATTCCACATCTGGTCATATCCTGGACATGATGAACAGGAGCTGTTGACCTGGCAGGTAAGGCCAGTCATGACACCTGCATCTAATATCAGAGCACCAGGGGTGACTCCGGGTTCTCAATCCTGACCCCAGCTTCCTACTAATGTAGACATAGGGAGGCAGCTGTGATAGCTCAAGTCCTTGGGTCCCTGCTGCCCACACGGGAGACCTGGACTGCGTCCCAGATCCTGGCTTCAGGCCCTGGCCCAGTCCCACCCATTGCAGCCAGCTGGGTAGGGAACCAGCAGACAGGAGCTCTTCATCACTTTCTTTCCACCTCTCAACTAAGTGGATTATTTTTAAAATTAGAGTATGTGTGAATTCAGAGCCAAATTTAACTTCCAGACAACTTGATTCCCTTCCAGCTCATTTATAAAAAACACCTCTCACAGGGGCCTCTGCCTCCCCTCCCCCTATACCTATTACCTCCTCTCCCTCACAGCCACATAGACTCCCTGGCCTATCACCAGTCACCCCTGCTAAAAACCTGAACCACCTGCCTCTTGTCATCCCTCTCCCCTGGTCTTCAGAAACCCTAAGGTTGAAGGAAGCAATCCTGCCTTTTTTAGACCCAGGCAGGGCACCGAGTCCATGACTGACTCATGATCCCCAACTCCAGGGCCTTTCAACATCACTCCCCGTCCTGCCTCCTTCAGGGTCCCTGGGATACGCATTCTCCTTTGCTGCTCCCAACTTGTCAGCATCTTTCCCACATCCACGCGACAGGCCATCTCCCACTTGGGGAACAAGGCCATCCTCAGCCCCCTACTGCTTCCACGACCAGCCTCCCTTCACCTTGCCTTTCTGTTTCCTCCCCTCCCACACAACCTCACCCACTCCAACACACAACAGCGCTGTCAGTGGCAGTGGGTCCCTCAGTCCAGTCGACACTTCTGACCCATTTTCCTGGACCCTAAGCTACAAGCTACTGACTTTGCTTTCCCTGCAATACTCACTTCTTCCTACCTTCCCGGCTCTCATTTGGGCTCTCAGAACCCTCTGACCATGCCACACTCCATTCTGTATATTTAACTCAGGGAAATCATTTTGGCCTGTCAATCAGATGACATATCTGCCCTCTTTAAAACTCCATAATGACTTCCCTAATTTGGATAAAGAAAGGGACATCCAAGTACAGGAAGCACATAGAACCCCTAATAGAATGACCAGAAAAGATCTTCACCATGACACATTGCAATCAAACTCGACACACTAAAACATAAAGAAAAGATTCTAAAATGTGCACGAGAGAAACACTAGATTACTTTTAGAGGCTCTCCAATTAGACTCACAGTGGACTTCTCATCAGAAAACCTACAGGCTAGGAGAGAATGGCGAGATACAGTCCAAGTCTTAAGAGAAAGTAACTGTCAACCCGGAATACTGTATGCTGCAAAGCTCTCACTTATGAATGAACGTAAAATAAAGAAATTCCATGACAAACAAATTCAAAGAATTTTTTCTCTACCCATCTAGCCCTACAAAAGATACTTAAGGATGTGCTGCACACAGAAACACAGAAACATGGTCATCATCACGAAAGAAGGTAAAGGAAAAAAATCTCTCAGTGAAAGTTTAAAGGAATTTCAAAGTAAAAAACAGCAATATTTTTGTAAAAATGGCAGGGCAAAGTTGTTACTTAGCAACACTCACCTTGACTGTAAATGGCCTTAACTATCCAGTTAGACACAGACTGGATGAACTGATACAAAAAATATATACACACATTTACTGCCTACAAGAAATGCATCTCACCAAAAAGATGCACACAGACTGAAAGAGAAAGGATAGAAAAAGATAATCCATGCCAGCAGAAACCAAAAAAGAGCTGGTGTAGCCATCCTAATATCAGACAAAATAGACTTTAACACAAAAACTGTTAAAAGAGACAAAGAAGGGCACTATGTAATGATTAAAGGATCAATTCAACAGGAAGATGTAACTATTATAAATGCATATGCACCTAATTACAGGGCACCTGGCTATTTAAAAGAAATGTTAATGGATCAAAACGGAGACCTAGACTCTAATACAACACAATACGAATAGGGGACTTCAATACCCTACTTTCAGCAATCGACAGATCAACCAAACAGAAAATCACCAAACAGCAGAGTTAACTAACACTACAGAAGAAATGGACCTAACAGATATCTACAGAACTTTTCATCCTACAATTGCAGAATACACATTCTTCTCAGCCGAACATGGAACTTTCTCTAGGATTGACCGCTTACTAGGCCATAAAGCAAGTTTCAGCAAATTCAAAATAAATTGAAATCATACCATGCATCTTCTCAGATCACAATTCAATGAAGCTGAAAATCAGCACTCAGGAATCTCTAGAACATATGCAAACACATGGAGACTGAACAACATGCTCCTGAAGGAACAGTGGGTCACAGAAGAAATCAAAAGAAAAAAATCAAAAAATTTCTGCAACCAAATAAGATGACAACACAACATATCAAAACTCATGGGATACAGCAAAAGCAATGTTAAGAGCAAAGTTTATAGCAATTACAATTTCCTGTCTACGTCAAGAAATTGGAAAGGCACCAAATAAATGAACTATCAATATATCTCAAGGATCTAGCGAAACAGCAGCAAACCAAACCCAAAACTAGTAGGAGAAAAGAAATAATTAAAATTAAAGAAATCAACAAAATTAAATCCAAAAAAATACCAAAGATTAGCAAAACAAAGAGCTGGTTTTTTGAAAAAATAAAACTGACCAACTAACCAAAAAAAAAGGAGAAAACCCAAATCAATAAAATTATAGATGAAAAAGGAAATATAACAACAGACACCGCAGAAATAAAAAAGAATTTTCAGAAATTACTAGAAAGAGCTGTATGCCAACAACTGAGAAACCCAGAAGAAATGGATGGATTCCTGGAAATATACAACCTACCTAAATTAAACCATGAAGACATGGAAAACCTAAACAGACCCATAACCAAGATGGCAACTGAATCAGTAATAAAGGCCTCCCCACAAAGATAAACTCAGGACCAGATGGTTCCACTGCTAAATTCTACCAGACATTTAAAGAAGAACTAACTCCAATTCTTCTCAAGTTATTCCAAACAACTGAAACGGAGGGAATCCTCTCTCATTCTTTCTATGAAGCCAGCATCACCTTAATCCCTAAACCTGAAAAAGAAGCAACAGAGAAAGATAATTACAGACCAATTTCCCTGATGAACATATACAAAAATCCTCAACAAAATTCTAGCCAATAGAATCCAACAACACATCAGAAAGATCATCCACTCAGACCAAGTGCGATTTATCCCTGGTATGGAGGGATGATTCAACATTCACATTAACAAACTGAAAACAAAAACCATATGATTATCTCAATAGATGCAGAGAAAGCATTTGATAAAATACAATACCCTTTCATGATGAAAACTCTAAGCAAATTGAGTATAGAAGGAACATTCCTCAACACCATCAAGGCAATTTATGGCAAACGCAGGGCCAGCGTCCTAGTGAATGTGGAAAACTTGGACACGTTCCCATTGAGATCTGGTAGCAGGCAAGGATGCGCACTCTTACCACTGTTATTCAATATAATCCCGGAAGTTTTGGCCAGGACCACTGGGCAGGAAAAATAAATCAAAGGGATACAAATTGGGAATGATGAAGCCAAACTACCCCTAATTGAAAATGACATGGTTCTGTGTATAGCAGATTCAAAAAACTCCACTAAGAGACTACTGGCACTGATCAAAGAGTTTGGTAAAGTAGCAGGGTATAAAATCAATACACAAAGGTCAACAGCCTTTGTATACACAATGCTATGAGCTTCTAGGATCAGTCCCATTCACAACAGCTACAAAAAAAAATCAAATACCTTAGAATGAGTGTGACTGAGGATGTC